CGAGGAAATCAGGACACAAAAGCTTCAGTTGTCAATAAATGCGACTAAATCTTAATATTAGGAAATGAAATAGTTTTCGTGCTTACTGACTTTAGTTTAAAACCAGTGAAATACTAGAAGGAACTAAAGCAAGAGTACATATTATCGGTAGCAAGCAATTTCATGCTGTTCAAAGCAGAGAGAAATATTGCATGCGATAGAACAACTCCTATTTTTATGAGTAATAATAGGTCATGAGAGAGGCCAGATGGGCTCTCAAAACCAGGCTCGTGGAGTGGGTGACTGCTATCAGCAACAAGTTGATCAGCTGCAGCAGGGAAGACCAATAATGAAAGCTTTTTCCATGACAAGTCTTTCTTCCAAGACACTGGCCCTCCTCCTATTGCTCGGAGGAAATTGCTAACATGAACTTAAAAACTAGACTTGATAATTAGAATTATTGATTTTACTGTGGGTCTCAATATTTATTGGGATCCACTACCTATTCAATTGGTGAGATTATCAAGTCTAATTTTTAAGTCCATATAACATTACTCTATATGTAATATATATGCCCCATAGGTGACTTTAGACTACAGATAAATTCCTTATCCATTTTCAGCTCGATTAGTGGACATTTAATTAATTACCACTTTGTTGGTCATTTTAGGTACACAATTAATTACATCCTCATTAACTCAAGTAGTGTCTGTTACACTTATACAAACTATTGAAGGTGCTAGAATGTGAGTCCACTTTAAGAAATTGATCATTAGAAGTGAGGACCATTTTGTACAGTTCATAAGTGCAACTGAACATTATTGCAGTTTTCAAATAAGGTTGATAGGCATTATGAATTGTGATCGTCTATATTCTTTTCAAGGGTTCTTGAAAAAGTTGGTAACCAAGCAGGAGAATCTTTCTGTTAGATGTATAGTATGATATGGGTGTACAATTGGGTGGGAGGAGCCAATCACAGATGTGCCCACTGCCCCCATTGATTCCTAAAATGAGACATGGGAAATGCCGTGGCACCTACTAGACCAGACTACCCAGACCCAACTGTGGAAGAAGGGCTACTTTTAGTCCTTTTTGTAGGTCCATGTAATAAAGTGGGAACTTGACTATTGCCATTTTGAACCTATGATTCCTCAACCATAGCTAATCCTGCATCGAAACATTGCTTGTCATTGACATTAAGATAAATGCTTTTATTGCCTTGCTGACGCATTTTTTCCATTGGCAAGGGTATAGGAAAATTTCATATGATTCGAAACCAAAAGTTTGTGGAGTAATAAAATCTAACATCTTCTACCTAGGAGGCATTAGCTGGGTTTTAAGACCAGACATGCCAAAGTCTGAAGGGTTTAGGGTTTGGAAAGTGGAGAGAAAAAGAAGGGAAGGAGGTGCATGATCTTGAATATCTGAAGCATGCCACCATATAATTGACAGCGCTGTTATTATATAACACAAAACAGACCTGAAGACTATTCTTCCTATACAGAAAAGGAAGGGAAAAGAAAGGATGCCGTTATAGTAAAACATTACAGACCAACAACAACAAACTACAATATAAGCAGCGGAAGATTTGTTGTTTTGATACTCAAAAGGCACATGGTTGTCCCAAAAAAAAAAAAGAAAGGTTAAAACCCAAAAGAAATATGGGTAATGATGACCATGATTGCATCATCATGGTAATGCTTGATGATCCTCATCATGGCCATCATCAGCGCCTTCTCGTATTGCGTATAATTGAGTTGGGCAGAGAGCCTAACTAGAACATAGCTTTTAAGCCATAGAATAAAAGCTTCTTAACATTGAATAGATAGATATGGGGGCCAGCTCTTTCAATGGCTATTTGAAAGACAGTTGTGTCAAACTACAAATCAAATCATACACGTGGAAATGCACACGATCGAACTGACACAGAGAAGGTCACACACTCGTGCACGCACCCAAACACAACACACGGTGACAGAGAGAGCATGAGAGAAAAATGCTTGTCTGTGTTTGGCCTCGAGAACAACCAGCATGAGCCCAAGAAGTCCAATCCCAATACCAACTATGTCAACCCCCGACCAATCCCATCAAGGTGATATATATTAGGATGAATCAAGTGGTACACGACAAGACACGTGGCCGACAAGAATTTCAGGAGTAACCAACCATGGGCTATGAGAAGAAGAATATACCGAGCTAGTGGGGGAAACTATTATGAGGATTGCACAAGGGATCTTTCTAGCTGGCCCACAACTACTTTTGTTTATAGTAGGAGTAGCCCAACCCACGCATCCCCTCCCACTTGCATGCTCATTTCTAAGGGTAAAATTCAATCATAGAGCGCCACAATGCCATAGCTAGGACGGAGGGTGTGGAAAAGAGACGGCTCTTTTCCTTTACCAATTCTATTCTTGTAGTTTATCATGATATGCTTTTGATACATTACAATGTTGACTAAACCCATACAATCCTTCTTCTTCTTCTTCTTCTCTCTCTCTTGGTGAGACTTTGGGACACTCATTTTTGCTTTAGCTTGTACTCTGACCAGTAGTGGTTAACATAAATATTCCAGAAGTTCCCTGTCTCTCTTTCAGCTCGTATATCAAAAATTTTCACGATACTTATTAACACACACACACATATATATACACATACAGGGTAATCTCTCTCTCTCTCTCTCTCTCTCTCTCTCTCTCTCTTTTTGCATATTTCACGTCATGTATGCATTTTTACCTGGACGAACATGTTCGTTTCTTATACATGAGTGCAGCTACTGTTTGCTTCAGACTCGGAAGTGGAAGAGTAGATTTACAGCCCTTTCAAATATAAATGTTGCGGTTTGACTGGAATAAAACGAGTTTTCGTGGTATGAATATTCTTATCTTTGTTTTTAAGAACCAATTATTACTTGTGCATTAGTTGATAAATTTTTATTTTTTATTTTTTATCGGAGAAGTGATAATTCAGGTTCTTTCATTGATAGAAATATACTTATATTATTGTTATCATTTCTTCCTGCTAATAACAAACCAAAAGGACCGAGCTGCTTTCTAGCTTTCTTTTATAATCTGCCATACTTTGCTTGAAGATAAAAGAGTGCAAGGAAACAAAAGTTTTAGGCTTTATTAGAACTATTCCAATTGAATAGAGACAAAGAGAAAATGATAAAACCTTACACGCACAGAATCGCATCGAATTTCCAAAAACACAAAGCAATTGGAGCAAAACGTTTTCTGATTGTTCACATTCATGATGTTGGTATTAAATCAACTTTATATGTAAATGATTTGTAAGGCTTCTGCTATTTCTCTCTCTCTGCTGGGCAGTTTTGTAATTTCTCTATTTAGAAGAACAATATTAGGAACTTTTCCTTCATCATTTGAAAAAGAATTGGTAGTGTGTCTGTGTCATATATATTAGCACCGTCGTTCTTTTACCAGCATTTGTCCATCGAACTCGAAGCCCAAGCCACTAGGTGATGTTCCAAGTTGTTGTCAACCTATCAATAGTGATAAAGGCAGCTGCTGCTAAAGTTTTAGAAGATTCATCTAGCTGGGCCGAGTCACAGGTTTTCCTTCTTTTTCTGTCTTCTTTTTATCCACATGAGAAGTCGATGATTTTATTAAGGTGGGGGATAAAAAATGCTGGCCCAAATATAAACAGTTTCCACAGGATATTCTTTGATCGCCACTTCTTTTAATCGGGTGAATGGTCAGAAGGTACATTATTTAAGCTGCTGTGTATGCAGACTTGGTGCATGCATATGCATATTCTATATCAAGGGATGTTTGGAAGTCCCATCACCAGAATTATTGGCAGATGATTAGTATTACGTAGGGTGGATGAAATAATATACTTTCTGGGAGTCCTAGTGACATGATGGCTGTTATCATTTTGTAACTAGTAATCTCTCATTCTTCATGAAGGATTTGTGCCCTCAGAAAATTAATCTAGAACGAAATAATAGAAACGGTTACATGTGTCAGATCAGTATCTGGGCATAAAAATCACAAAGCCTCAAACGTCAAACCTAATGCATGTAGATGTGTGCAGATGCATCATCATTCGTCTAATGTAACTCCACCACTAGGTTATTTCTCAAGGAGTTGCCAAAGATTTTTATCGAACAAGCCGGACCGACTAGTTACTCCAAAGATCCCTCTAACTCGTCTTCCTCCCATCGCCCAAAGTGCATGCCAACATCTTAAATAGTTGAATTTCTTCCACTTTTCCTTTTGTAGGAGAGAATTCCTTCCAAATCCTAATGGTTTGTGGGGTTCTACATAGGAAACAAGGGAGGTGATGGGATCCTTGCTGGATATTCGATCACTTGGTGAGGTAAGGCAAGGCCTACTCCCAATTTAAATCTAATAGTGTATAGCATGTGAACTACACCTTCGGTATCCTAAGCTAGGCTATGTAACTACATTTCCCTTTCATGGTCCTTTTGATGTATATGCTTGTTCTTATTCTCCACTCTATTTCCATCTGATTTCCATTTTTTTAGTGCGCTGATATGTCCATAAGCAACATGATGGTAAATTTCATTATTTTTAAATGTGTTTAATTTCATGAATACTCTGTATTTGTTTGCCATTTCTGAAGTGCCTTCTTTATGAATATTCGGGCCTCTTTACCCATTTGGGTATTCCCATTCGTCACTCCTCTCATCAGCATATAAAAAGTAGAGGTGAGGATTATGGAGGGCGGATGATCTGGTGGGATGCAGGGGACCTAGTCATGCGTGTCTGAATTGCTATTTACTTTTTCGTGCACTTCATTGTTAAAGTGGGACACCTTATTTTAATTAGGCCGAGTGTCTTAGACAATGCTCTATGGCAAAGTTTGACAAACTATCAAGTTCAATAAAGTATTTCAACAGCGACAATTAATGCAACAATGACAACATTGGTTTGTGTGTTTGTGTAATTATCAAATTTTGATTGGCTTGTTTACAGGCTACCTGTAAAGAATTTATTCTCAACTCTAAATTCTTGAGTAAGATGTCCACATTTTTTATCCCGAAGTTCAACAGTTACACAGAAGTTACTTTTGGAAATTAAGGGAAGGTGTGGAATCTATGAAGTGCCATTTGACATTTGGGTGGAAGGAAAACAATAGAAACGAAGATGAAGTTTATGAAACTTGGGACAAGGCCAGACACCTTCTACACAGAAGAGGCTACCAGGTATATAGTATTGAATTCACGGCACAGGTTGACATCAAACACAACTGATACAATCTTCTTTAACAAACGCAGGACCGTAGTTTCAGAAGTACCTAGTGACCTCATCATTCAAACTAACAATATTACTTATATTCTCCATAAGGTATGATCGCCTTAATTATTTTAGCCTGCTCTGTGAATAATTTAAGATTACTCAATAGATATAGGAATATTATTCCTCAACATTTCCTTGTTGCCATGTAATTCCATGTAAATTACCTGTGTATACAAAACTTAGGGGGTTTAAGAACTAAGAAGCAGACAGAGTAAACCAAAAACTCTATTAGCTTTCTGCTAACATTGAGGGATTAAAGTAGGGAAGCCCTATTTGCACTCCCCTTTCCACCGCACCACTCATAATTTTCAATGGAGCTCAATTGTTGCAGTCAACTGTCTTTCAACTATGGATATTTCTTGTGAATGTTATCTTTTGAAGCCAAGATCACTAAGATTCTTGTTAATTCTCGTGTGCCTGGCAGCAGTTTGCACTTCTTCCAAAATGTGGCCTCTTACAACGATTGTGCTCAGATTCTGGAGATTCCAGCGATGTTACACTAGAACTTCATGATATTCCTGGAGGTGAAGATGCTTTTGAGCTGTGTGCCAAGTTCTGCTATGGGATTACAATCAATCTCAGCGCCCATAACTTTGTATCTGCAATTTGTGCTGCTAAATTCCTACGAATGACTGAAGCAGTTGATAAGGGGAATTTTATCATGAAACTTGAGGCTTTCTTCACATCATGCATTCTTGAAGGTTGGAAGGATTCCATAGTCATACTGCAGACTACCGGAAGGCTACCTGAGTGGTCTGAAAACCTTGGGATCATCAGAAGGTGTATCGATTCTATTGTTGAGAAGATACTCACCCCACCGGCACAGGTTAGAAACTTTGCACTAATGTTTTCTTCAATGGTTAACTGGACCAGCAAAAATTGTGTAGGCACCTATTGTATAAGTTGAGGATTGAGTTTCTTGAAGCATCTCTGCAGGTATCATGGTCCTACACTTACACCAGACGAGGGTATGACAAAAAGCGTCACCCCTCTGTCCCAAAGGATTGGTGGACAGAGGACGTTTCTGGCCTTAACATAGACCTATTCAGATGCATAGTTACTGCTGTTAGATCAACAAACATGCTGCCACCACAGCTTATTGGTGAAGCTTTGCATGTCTATGCATGTCGTTGGCTGCCTGACACTACAAAAATCAAGCCTCCTGAAAATTCAGCTTCTCATATCGAAGAATCCACAGAGGAAAAACGCAAAGATCTGGAGACCATCGTGAGCATGATTCCCGCAGACCAAGGGTCTGTTTCAATTGGATTCCTGCTGAGATTACTTAGCATAGCAAATTTGCTAGGGGTGTCTCCGGTGACAAAGACAGAACTTATAAGGCGCTCTGGTCTGCAATTTGAGGATGCAACACTAAACGACCTGCTGATACCTTCACATAATGCCCAAGATCCACATTTTTATGATATTGACTTGGTTGGTGCAGTATTGGAAAGTTTTTTGATGCAGTGGAGAAGACAGTCCAATGGAGAGCAAAGCCAATCTGTCAGATCGATCAAACTGGTTGGCAAGCTTATTGATTCTTATCTTCAAGTGGTCGCCAAGGATGTAAACATGGCAGTACATAAAGTAGTATCTCTTGCTGAAACTTTGCCAGAAATTGCGAGAACTGAGCATGATGACCTTTACAAGGCAATCAACGTTTATCTCAAGGTACAAGTTAAGAACAAGTACAAAAAAAAATGAACATCAACAGAGACTATATTAGTTTTTCCAATTACAAACTTCCATCCTTTTTACTAAATTTTGCTTTTCATGTGACTCTAATGAAACATATCCAGGAGCATCCTGACCTGACCAAGGCAGAAAGAAAGCACCTTTGCCACGTTCTGGACTGCCAGAAATTGTCCCCAGCGGTTTGTGCTCATGTGGTGAGGAATGAACGGCTGCCATTGAGAACAGTGGTGCAAGTTCTCTTCTTTGAACAAGAGAAAGGTGCTCACAAACTTCCCCCTCAACCTCAAGAGCAATTTCCCACTAGAAAACAAACTAAGATTTCCAGAAATGAAGTGAGCAAAGTAAAATTGGGTCCACATGAACAATCCAGCACAGCAGAGGGTACAAGAAGAAGTTCAATTCATGGCATCAGTGGAAGAGATCATCAGAGAGTAGGGAAATCGGGTGGAAAGCTGCAAGTGGAATCCGAACAAAGATTGGATAGAAAAGAAATTGCAGAAACACTTGCCGGGAAGGAAAAGGAGATTAGAGAAGAAGGAATTTCTGGAAGTAAGTTGGATCCGAAGAAGCTAATACAAAGGAGAAGTAGATCGGATCACAAGCATAGCAAAAGTACAGAGAGATAATCCCTGCCTTTGCTGTTTATTGTCGCTCTGACTTTGAAGCCAGAATTAATGATTTGGAACCTTGCATATTCCCAAACCGGCACACAAATCTTTGGCACCAGATTGCATGTACAAAGTTTTTAGACCATTAATTGCAGTTCTGTATTCCCACTTGAGTCGGTTCGGTTGGGGTCTCAAATAACTGTTTCTCTATCAAAACATTTGCAGTGCGTTCAGAATGAGCATGATTGTATTAAAACATTGATTATATTTATATGTCAACATCCCTGCAATTAATTTTGAAGGTGCCAAATTACTTCTCTCATAAATCAAACCAAATCAAACACCCAACACGATTCAATTTTACCCCACTTCATTTTTATTTTTATTTTGTCGGGCAAACCCACTTCAATTTCACCCATTGATGATGGAATGAGTTATGCCTTTTTGTGTGCATCCATGGCGCCTGAAGAGATGATGAATAAGAGATTTCATGTGACCCTTCAAGGGTGGTGATCCCTGCAAGAAGTGGGAATTGGTGAAGAAAGCAGATAAGATCAGGCTAGTTTTACACGATACTCTACCTTTTTTATGCTAACATGATACTCTCTTTCATTTAGGGAATTCCATTCCTTCCAAGTTCAATGCCGGTCACTCTTGAATGAAACTGCAGTTTCAGCTCACAACACCACCACGCCACCAAAACATACACATTCTCAAATTCGTAGCTTCCTACTTCCGTCATAGCATGCAAGTCTCTATATACCACATACAATCAATAGCATATACGAATTATCAAATGGATAATTTCAGCATTGACGCTTTCACTACCACAGTACTAAGCTACAATAACATTGAATCAACAAACTTTTTCTTTTTTCCCACCCAAAAGCATTACTAAAATAACATTCACTATAACTAACTAGCATTCACTCTATTTCATCTTTTACCAATCAAAAGTTTCAGAAGGGGGACCCTGAAAAACCCACTTAAGAAACCACGTCTCACATGACCAAAATCCAAACACCCCAGTAAATCATCAACCAGACAATTACCCACCTACAATACAAACCAAAACCTGGAGAATTACTATCGGTGACCCCAACAAGAAATCTGCAATCGCCAACTGAAGGATCTAGGAAAGTGACCATTCCAAGTCCATCGAAATCACAGCTCTGAGAATTCTGTTTCTGTAACTGATAATAGCTGTTGAATGCATACGAGATGTTTCCCTTTGCCCCTATTTCATTACACGATCCCCCATAGTTGAGAGTTGTGCAATCTGCAACACTACAAGCAAGCCTAAAATGGTTAGCCACACCAGAAAGATCCCTGGATGGGTCTGCCACACACCACCTAGAAGGAAGATACTGAACATCCTTTGCATTCTTTAGTAATCCTCCGCCCAAACCTAGCTTTAGTTGGTACTTTGCCTGGCCATCAAAAGAGAAAATCCCCCAGTGTCTCTCAAAGGTCCCCGGAAGTACATTCTTTGCACCTTCATCAAGGAGACTAAAAAGATAAATATCCATAGGTGGCACTGCAGGTCTAAGAGGTGTTCCTTTGTTGCTTAGAATGTGGTATATAAGGCCTTGGTTGAAAGCCTTTGCAGCAGTAAGATTTGCACTGATGGCCCCATCTGTAGGCCAACCCACCTCGCCTATAACTATAGGCATCTGACCATACCCAATTTTGCTGAGGGCTGCAACTAAAGTGTCAAAATTTCCATCAAATGCATTGTAATAAACATTTGTTCCATCAGCCACAGGGTGGTTTGTTCCCTCAAAGAATGCATAGTCTTGTGGGAAGTCTGTGTTTCCATAGAGGCTTAGAAATGGGTAGATATTGACCACAAACGGAGAATCATTGGAGTTTAGGAATGAAACAAGTTGAGTCATAATCTGGGTCAGTTCAGGTCGGAAGGCTCCTTGGGAAGGAAGTGAAGACTCATAAGCATCAGCATTACAAGGGACGACTAGCTTTACGGTGCCTTCAAGGTTTCCTCTAGCCAAGGACTGTTGCAGATTCATCAGAGCAGGGATGATATAAGACTGAAATTGACCAGAGTAAGTTGTAAGGAAGGGTTCATTTCCCACTGCAATGTACCTGCAATCATATTGTAAGAGTCGATAGCACACAAAAACTGGAACCATGATATGTGTGTGCGTGCGTGTGTACATATATGAGTGACCCATCAAAATTTGGAGTTGTATGAAAACTTATAAATTGTTTCAATAGCAGAAACAATCACTATCATCAACTTAATTGGTACTTTTTGTTAAACAACATTTTGATAAAATTGCCTCGATTTTATAAAAAAACAATTCAGATTTTACGAAACACATTACTCCCCCAAAAGTACTGTAACAACTAATTCAAAGAGAAAAACCGAACCTACAGGGGACATTTAGTGATAAAATTCCGGGACATATTTTTCTTACTTCTGCCTAAACTTTATAAACTTTAACACTTCAATTAATTACAGACCTAACTGTATCAAAGTTCTTTCTCTGAAAAAATGTATCTAAGTTGAAATAAGATTCCATTTGAATATCATTTGGAATCATTAAATTGCTAGAGTCCATTGGTTAAGTCAAACATTGACAGCCTGCCATTTTTATTTTTTTGACAAGTTAAAAACTAAAAAGGCCGAACTGTAACAAAAACTAGCATTCTTGTAGCAAGCAAATATTCATGCTTCCATAAAGCAGTGAACCAGGAAAGTTTTCTTCAATTGTTCAGGATTCATTCCACTTATTATGAGGACTAGTTATTTTTTTTGTTTTGTTTGAGAAAGGATTTATCATTTTACAAATTTATAAAAGCCTGTAATGACATCTGCTGAAGGTTTGAATACTTGCTAAGGATTCCCAGGAGAGCCTTTTGCGTAAGTTCCTAATATTTCTTTCTATTCTTTTTCCTTGATGAACCAAGAAGGATGAGAAGTTTTGGCTCATTAAAGCATATAATGAAAGGTGTTCAAATTTCCGGGATAAAATTAAATATATTTGTAACTATAATCATCGGTCCCAGACTTCACGTGCCACATTACTCAATTTCAACTATAAGCAAGCACATACACCTCTCCTAACACAGTCATTATGGTTAGATATTTTGTAACCAGCAAACAAAAGGTAATAAGTTGGTCTTTTGCTCTACATGATAACTAGCATCACCTAAAAGAAAAAATGACAAGCAATAATCTTGCAAGGGGTAGATTAGGAGTTGTTATTGTGCAAAAAGGAGAAGAGGATTGCGAGTGAAAGAAAGAGGACTTGAGGGAAAGGAAATGACAAATTGAATGCTCTTACTTCTTGGCTATAAATCGAAGCATTTAAAAAAGGTACAAACATATCAAAATATGCTTGCAAACGCAAAGAACTTCACATAATTAGGACCTGTGATGCCTCAATTGAGAAAACGGTTTTGTGTGCCATGATGATAAGAATGAGTAATACTTCTCCACCCAGAGATCGCGGTTAATTCGTCAACAGGCCAATGTATAAACACTATTTCTCTTATCATATTTTACTTTATAAACAAACACTACATCGCACAGATATTACAGAACAGAGAAGAAAAAAAAGCAGCATCAGCAACAACAATAATCACCAAAAAGAAAAGCACCCAACAATGCCACTGCATATATTTGATTGCACCAAAAAACCCCAACCCTCCACTTCTAGAAATTAAAACAACAGCAACCAAACAGAAGCCAAATCGTAAAAATGAAGTATCCAATAAGATGATAACCGAAATGAGTGGGAAAAAAGAAGAACTCAACACCAGAGAGGGAAAAAAGAAAAGAAAAGCGGATAACGTGAAAACACACATACACACAAAAATAGCAGAATGAGAGTGAACAGATAAAGACACATACTTGATATTAACACCGGCTTTACCCATAAATCGGGAAACATTCTGGCCAACCCATAAATCAGAAGCGGTGGTAGACGTACTCAGGACAGCCAACAATTCATTGGGTATCCCTACCATTACCTCAATCCCACTCCCCATCAAAGCTCTAAGGGCACCAGGGTCCGCATCAAACAGCTTCACCTTTTTTATGTTATTTTCTCTCAAGAGATCCACCACCGTTGAAGGAGATAGCTTGTGGAGTGACACTGTCCCCCAGTTCACTCCTATCGCTGATTCAACCACCACTAGAGCCGAACCAAACAACACAAATATACATAGAAGAGTCGTGGAGGGTAAATGGGTTTCTGCCATTTTCTCGAGAATCGAGGCTTGAAGAGTTCTTGGAGCGTCCTGTGATCTCCCATCAACTGACTCTCAGTAGGTGCTCTGTAATTTTTTTTTTGCTTGTGGGAAAGAAGAGCGAAAAGTAGTCGAAATGGTAAAGTGGAGAGTCTCGGAGATAATTTAAGGTTAAAAATAAGTTTATTGTTCATTTAATACTCAAAATTAAGAATGTCAATAGTATCGAGTTAAATGCTTACGTATCGTGTTAGATGAGTGATGTATAATATATTTAATAAATGAATAAAAAATTTTAATATGAACCGTTTAATAAATAGGTAACACGATATAATTCATTTAAAAATAAAAAAAATATTACTTTAATAAATTTTTACACTATTTTTTTTTATTGCTTCCAAGTGTACTTTCCTCAATTTAAAAAGTTTCATCTAAAGCTAACAAACAATTATAGCCAACAGTCATAAGTCACATCCGATCAATTAAAAAGCAAGAGGCCCATTATCTCTTTTATAGACAACCAAAGCTCCATCTCTCTACTCTTTCTGGCTATGTAAGATTCAAAGAAAAGGCAATTCAATGCCTCAAACTGATTTCTTTACTTTTTTTTTTAAATGATTTTTTTACTTTTTTTTAACTTATTCATTATTTTATATGTATATAAAATAATTATTAATTTATTATTATATTAAATTTATTTAAACGGGTTGACATGTCTCACCCAAATACAATCTCGTTTATTAAACATGTTTAACTCGTTTACCACCCAAATCCGTTTAATTCGTGTCGATTAATCGTATCGTGTCGAATTTTAACACGCCTACTCAAAATTGCACAAAGTGCATACTGACTTGTTTGCGAGCTTAGTAAATAGCAACCATTGACCTTTACGAGTGCAACTCCTGCACGGGGTTGAACAGTCAGCTCTAACTTAACTTTAAATATATAATTTTTAATCTTAATTCTAACTCTAATCCTAACTCAGGTCGAGAGATTCAACCCGAGCAGTGCCCGAGTTTAATTCAGACGGACTCGGATTGAATTCGCGTTAATAATTTTGGACTATTTTATGGGTTTAATTTCAATTAAATTCGGGTTAAGTCCAAAATAGACTTATTGTTCTAAACTTGATACACAAAATATTCACATAAATTAACAATCAATTACTTCAATCAAGTTTTTAACATAAAAATTATAATATTAAGAACTTTTGTTTGAGATAATGTAACCACAACCATATAGAACACAAATAAACACAACCAGAATCTTTGTACAAACATAGAGTTCACTATTTAAATAGTGAGTGAAGGAAGCGCACAATAAAGACTTCAGAATAGATTAACTCTAGATTTTAAAATGTATTTATATGGTTATGAATATTCAGGTTAAACTCGATTTTAGTATTTGGGTTCAATCCTGTAACCCAATGGGTCAACCCTGTAGCCAGCCCATTGAGTTCGGGTTGGGAGTTTTTGACCTAAGTCCAACCCAAGTATTAAAAATTCTAACTCAAGTTTTAATTTTTTTGGGTTAGGCTTGGGTTGAAATCGGGTTAGTCTGCCCAAATTGCACCCCAAATCAACCCCACGATCATATGACACCCCAAAATTCGGATGGCTGTAATTATCTTATTGTTCACCCATCGACCCGCAGAATACTTGTGAATACTGTGTAATTCCATACCACACCGTTATACCCTATTTTCTCGGGATCCATAACTTAACAAAATTTGGATAAAGTCTTCTTTATACAAGGAGTTCTACCCAAAACGCAATCTGCAAAATATTGACCACACCGGGTCTATCCATCCATTCACAATTGTATAGTATCGAATACTACTATAATCATAATCAGTACATATATTTATTCGTAAAAGAATAAATGTCTCAAAAGAGTCTCATATACATGCCTTTGTAAATATAAACAAGTTTTGTTACAAAAATTATATAAGGCCAAAAGTAAATATAAACAAGGGACTATAATGTCAAAATAAGAGCCACAGACCAGCTCTGTCGTCAAAACGGGCTCATGGCCTTGCCTTCAGTGGACGCCTGTGCGATACCTAAAAAATGTTCCCATAAAGGGTGAGTCAACGCTCAATAAGGTAACTCCTATAGAGAATACCTCTCAATCTAAATGCATATGAAATGTCACATGCAACAATCATTTGATGCATTCATTCAAATATGTCTATTATGATCGAATGTCATAAATCATGTCATGCCATGAGATGAGACTTACGCAAGTAATACCAACCTTGAGCCCCATCCTGAACTCCCATAACACATGCAATGCCATGCGTATATATCCGGACATTCCAAGCCCCCGTCATTGGTGTTATGTACACTCAATGACTAATTAATTCATTTTCTTGTGTCTTTATGGGGAGGTGATTTATGGTATTACACCAATGGGACACCAACCATCAACGAATCTTCAGGACATCCCACATGTGGCTTCGTTTTTGTCGTTACACTTTTCTAGAATTTCATCGCCGAAAAGTGTATAAACCAAGTAAGCGGGTCTTGCACCTGAGAAAGAATCTAACCCTTCTTGCTATCCCCAACACATTTATCCATTTAATTCCCTGTGCGACTCAGCCGAACCTTGGTGTGACTTTTTCGAGCCCAGGATCAACCACCTATGTGGTGATTGATTTCATACCATGCATATACTCCCACAATGTCAATGTCCATGAATGTAGTGCAACCTATACATAATACAATACAATGTTCATTACATAATGAATACAATATAATGACATTTTAACACGATCTCAAGCATGTTATGTAAGATAATCAACTCAACTAATATACTTGTATTCACCTAGGTATTTAATCAAACATCTAAAGAGCACATCAATTTACACAACTAGCATGCTATGACTTTCAACATGACAACATGTTTATTAGTTATATAAACATAAGTACAAGTCCACCAAAATTATCATATGTTAAATAATCTTTTAACATATATATTATTTCATAATCACATAAAAAGTTAATAATTTTATTAAACTTGATATGCCATTAAAACATAAAATAATTCTAATATACAATTAACATGCTTTAAACCACTAACATTAACTTACACCAAGTTAATCGTAATAAGATTTTATTAATCACAAGGTTAATTATAAATCCTATATTTGACTCATTAGTTACATTAGTCAAGACCTAACATGTGATATAAACTCATAGCCTACTCATTCCATATGCTATATTTTAAGTTTAAATTAAATTTAAATAGGGGAAACCCTACCTCTTGTAGCGTGAGCCCACGTACTGGAACTCCTAGGAAGTCCAACTTAACTTCCAAAATTTTAGGCCTAGATTATCGTCTTTTATATTTTTTTTGGAGAAAAATACGATATTTGGTGTAGTTGCATAGCTCTCGCTGAGTAGAGCAACTATAATTCTTGACCCGAAGCGATTAAACAGTCTAATCTTTATAGATCTGAGGAAAAAGAAAAGAGGAAAATAAAAAAAATACTCACTTTTCTCTTTCTCAAATTTATACTATATATATATATATATAGTATAAATTTATTTTTTTGAAATTTATGTATTTGACCTGTAATTTAACAATTAATTATTATTTTATCCCCTTAATTAGGATTTTTAATAATAATAATAATAATTTTTTTTCGGGTTTTACATTTCTCCCCCATAAGAAAATTTCATCCCCGAAATTATACTCACATGCACATATAACGACATGCATATGCAAAAAGTCATTAAATACTCTATGACTATAATAGATATACCTCCATCCTCGAATAGAAATGGATAGGTAGCTCGGACAGTGTCCTCACGCTCCCATGTCGCCTCCTCTATCCCACGGTGCTGTTACAGCACCTTTACCAGCCTCACAGTCTTGCCCTGCAAAACTTGCTCTCAACTGTCCATGATACGCACCATTCCCTCCTCAAAGGTCTCATCCGCATCAATCACTAGCTCACCCCAATCCACCACGTGTGTAGGATCTGAAGTGTACTTTCGGAGCATAGAAACATGGAACACCGCGTAAACATTAGATAGATTTGGCGGTAATGCCAACCGATAGGCAACTGTACCAACCCTCTCAAGTACCTCGAAGAGCCCAATATACCTCGGCGACAGCTTTTCCTGCTTATCGAACCTGACCACTCCCCTCTTAGGCATCACCTTTAAGAAGACATAATCTCCGACCTCGAACTCCAGAGGTCGTCGTCATCTGTCGACGTAACTCTGAGCCGTGATAAGACGTTTTCGTATCAAATCCATCTTCTCCGAAATGTCTCTAATCAAATTCGGACCCGTGGAGGGTCTTTCTCCAACCTCGGTCCAGCAAATCAAAGAATGACACGACCTCCCATAAAGTGCCTCATAGGATGTCATCTGTAAACTCTCGCTGATAACTATTGTTGTAGGCGAACTCTACTAATGGTAAAATACTCCTCTCAGTCACCCTTGAAATTAAGGACGCATGCACGTAGCATGTCCTCTAAGGTCTGGATAGTCTTCTCTGACTAACCGTCCGTCTGGGGATGAAAGATAGTGCTCATCATTAACTGTGTCCCCATGGCCCGCTGAAAACTCTCCCAAAAATGAGCCATAAACCTGGGATCCCGATCCGATACGATAGAGATGGGTACCCCATGCAACCAGATAATCTCTCATATATACAACCTACAGAATTCCTCCAGTGTGAAGGTCATCCGCACAGCCAAAAAGTGTGCTGGTCCACTATCACCCACACTGCGTCATGACCCCGCGATGTCCATGGTAAATGGGTCACAAAATCTATCGTAATATGCTCCCACTTCCACTCAGCTACCTCCAAGGACTGGAGCAAACTTGCTGGTCTTTAATGTTCAGCCTTAAGCTACTGACACGTGAGACATTGACTGACAAAGTCGCCAACCTGCCTCTTCATTCCACTCCAGTAATATTGGCGACAAAGATCATGATACATCTTCGTGCCCCCTAGATGAATCGCAAAACGGGAGCAATAAAACTCCCTAAGAATCT